GGGGGGGGGGGGGGGGGGGGGGGGGGGGGGGGGGGGGGGGGGGGGGGTGGCCTATGTCTCGGGTGTGGACGGCCTGTCCAAGCACCTTCCCGTTCCACAGAGCCAGCCGGGGCTGGAAGCCAAGGCGATGGAAGTCGACAGGGTGGGATGGGATTGATTGCTGGGAGACTGTGGAAAATAAACTTCCATCCATTCAGCAGGCTGCCTGCACCCAGATTACAGGAAGTCCTCCATTTACGACCATTCAAAATTGTGACAATGCTGGGAGGAAGGGACTTGTACCCCTTGCACCAGAGGTCGCAGCCTGGGCATCCCGTCACTTAGCAGTGGAACCTCCGGCCCCTTCTGAGCCCCTAAGGCCAGGGCCGCCTGGGGCACCTGTTCCTAGCCGTGGAGGCGTCGCAGCATCCCACAGTCGTGCGATCACAATTTGCGGCCCTCACTGCTGGATTCCGAGAAGTGCGGTTGCCCGTGGCCATGGTGTGGCCATGGTGTGGCCATTGTGGGATGCTGCGGCCTCTCGGGGGTTCCAGCTGGGAGTGCCACCGCGGCCGTCCCGAGTTGGCGTGATCACAAGGCGTCGTCTGTGTCATTTAGCTACAGAGGGGGCGGCCCCCATTTCTCCCGTGGTGCTGACTCGCATGTGGTGTCTCAGGCAGGAGTGCGTGGAGCAGCTTCTGAAGAACATGTTTGATGAGGGATTGACGGAGACCTGCCTTGTGAACGGGACCCAGGTTTTGCTGACGCTGCTGGAGCCGAGGAGAGCTGGGTAAGCGGAAGGGCTCTCTGCAAGGCTCCACTGGGCTCCTTCCGGTCCGATTGGCTTTGCGGTCGACTCCTTTCCTTCCTTCCTTCCTTCCATTGGGCCCAATGCCACCTGACGAAGCCCTGAGGGGGATTCCTTGCTTGCGTTACGTGTGAGCACAGCTGTCAAGTTCTGCCGGGTCCCGTTTAGGGGGAAGGCCTCTGGTGGGAGCCAAGGCTTTGGGCCCTGCAGGGCCATAGGGGAAGGAGGAGGAATTTCCTGACAGAGGAGTTAATCAGAGGAACGGCTTCCCTTCCGGAGTTGTGGTTGCTCCATCGCTGGAGGGTTTCACGAATAGACCGGACAGCTGTTTGTCCGGGATGGTATAAGGACTCCTGCCTTGGGCCGCAGGATGGACTAGAAGATCTCCCAGGTCCCTTCCAGCTGTGATTCTAGGCGCAGGCATCCCTGTTGGAATCCAGTGGCCTTATTCCCTGGAACCCTTGGCAGCCTTGAGCTGCTGCACTTCTTTCATGGATCCTCAAGAAGCCCCTGGGAGCCCCCCAAAATGGCGCGGGGGTGGAGGCTGCACAGAAAAGGAATAGGAGGCAGGCAGGCAGGCAGTTGTATCTCTGGGAGGAGCCCAGCCAGTTGGGTGACCACCGTTTCCTCTTTTACTCCCCTCCAGCGGATGGTCCACCCCAGAGGGCCCTGGCCTTGCTCAGACCGGCCCTTCCGGGCTGCTTAGGCCACAGTCGTAGAGAGGAGCGGCTGAAACCAGGACTGCCACCTCTGGGCTACTGGCTATATTTGGTCTCAGGGGATCCATGAATTGGAGGAGGTCCTTTGGGCTACCCTCCTCCTCCTCCTCCTCTCCATTGCCCCTGGCTTTCTCTGTGGGCCTAGCCGGCTGGCCTCCAAGGCAGATGTGGGCTCTCCTGCGGTTGATCGGCCGCCCTCGGGTGCGGCTTTCCCCTCTGCCCAAAGGAGCACCTTCATTGGATGGCAGGGAAACACCGTGGCTGGTTTGACACCGTATTTTCATTGATGAAGTTGTCTTTAGCTCCACCCAAAAGGTGGGAAGGAAGGCAGGGCCTGGTGCAATGGGGAAAAGTAGGCATCTCCTGGGTAGAAAGGGGCCATGGGCCTCCCTTCAAAGGCTGGGACCCGTTGGGGCAAAGGGTGGACTTTTCCGGCAGAGCAGGGTCTGGAAGAAGCACTGCACAGGAAACGGGAAGACCTGAACTTGTTCTGACCCCCTTCCTCCGTCCAGAAACGAAAGCCACAAGCAAACGTAAATAAGAATACTTTTAATCAGTCCAGACTCTCGTTGGCTGCAAGCCCAAAATAAACAACGAGATAAGCACTCTGACAGTCATTCTTACAAACCTAGGCAATGTAAACGAGCTCTCACAGCAAACCACTTTTCCAAGTTGGTTTCTCTGACTCGTGAACATTGACTCCTGCAAACAGGGCGTGGCACAAACAGTCTCCTTTATAATCAGGAGAGGATCTTAATCAGCATCAGCTAAGCGCAATCGTCTCCT